TATAAAACAACGAACTTTGGCATTGGCTTCCAGAACATTCACATAATTTTTGCCTAACTATATCTGTCACAAACTGCTTTTGCTTTTCACCATCTGGGTCAGAACACAGTTGGTGAACAGCCTAGTTGAAAGCCATAAGAGATTGATTCACATTATTTTGATATTCATGCAAAAGAATGTCAGAGGACTCACAACAATGGAACTGAGACCACTGCTACTGTAGCAGTAGTTCCCTAACAGAGTATCTGAATAAGGCTATTTTTCATTGGATAGTATTAAACAATAGACCCAGGGTAAAGTTAAAACCTGATAATGCAGAGCAGTACAGCTATTAGTTCCCAAACCCAGGGGTCATTTAGTAGAAAAAGAGGTGCAGGAGCTCATTAGTATAACTCATTAGCATAACTTATTTTAGGGTTGCCAAATCGACTCACCCCTCGGAGCGGGGGAGCCTCGCCGGGGTCCGGGAGTTCTTGACAGACGCGTCACAGGAAGTGACGTGCTACGTGCTCATGTTGGGGGCGTGGCCCACATCGTCGGGGGGGAACCATATGGTTTTCCCCCCAATGATGTGGGCCACGCCCCCAACATGAGTGACGTGGCTGCATCACCTCTGGTGACGCAGCTTCAGGGGCAGAGTTCCCACCGGGGCCCGATTCCGCCGCGGCAGAAATCGGGCCTCCGAAGCGGGGGATTCCCCACCCCCTGCCCCCATTTGGCAACCCTAACATTTGCATATGCCACTGGACTGTTTTGGATTGCTAGCTATGGGGTGGGGGGAACATGCAGATCTGTCCTCACAGAGGATGGAGAGCTTGTACCTGAATAAAACTTGGTCTTAAAGGTGCCACTGGACTGTTTTGGGCCGGGGGGGCGGGGGGAGCTCTGCAACTTACCTGGCTGCTTCTTGCTCTGACTGAGGGCTGCTGTGAGCAGGGGGTGGGGCTTGTTGCATGTGCCCGCTCCCTGGACTCTTTACTGCCGGAGCTCCGCTCCTGTGCGCTCCTGCAGGAAATGACCCCTGCCCGAACTACACACAATAGCTATTTTTAAAGGCAAATTATAATGATCTTCCATGCCATGAAAAGCTTCAGTTGGTGATTTCAGCACATCAAACCAAGGCCAGCAACAGCATACCCCTGAAGTGAGCCAGCTGCCTGGGCTTCTGGCAGGGCTCACTGCTGTCAACCCTCCACCTGTATATCAACACTGAGGCCTACGTGCCAGCCCTTACCCCTCTAACTTGCGAGGGCTCTGTCACCCATACTGTCAGCTGCATATGCTGCCTAGCTCTGCTGAAGATGGGTGTGCAGAAGGTGAACGGTGGTGGCCCTCCTAGCGGTCACAGCAGTGGCACTCCCAGCCACAAATACCTCCCACTGACATCAAGGAAAGTTGTGCAGGCAGTGTGGGAAGCTGTGAGTGCTGATGGTGGGAGACTGCAATGGGTGGGAAAAGGACACAGGTGGGAGGGCTGTTGGTGGCTGGGCATAAGGGGTCCCTGGGCACTGTCTGCCCGGGGCTCACCAAATCCTGGAACCAGCCTTGCATCAGATTTTTGTTAAAGAGACAGGAGTAGGACAGACCAGATTTTTCACTGGCCATTTAGTAACCATTAGCAGAAATATAAGACAAGGAGCGGGACCCGCAATACTCGCAGGGGGGGTGAGGGAGCTCCACACTTATCGGGCAGAGGAGGAAGCAGGAGTAGGAGGTAAGTTCCCCCCGTCCCGCCAGTTCCCCCCTCTCCTCCACCCCCAGCTTGATCTCACCCCCCTTGGCTCTGAAGCGAGGCCCGG